TCTGAGAACCTCCACCATGTGGAGAAGGTCGTTTGGGGCACACGATATGCCATTACGGTGTCTTTCACATGTGACCCCGATTATGCCATTGATGACCCCTCCCTGCCGTAGGATCCATCTGTCTCGAACGGACGAGTGACGGTAACCTTAGGGGAAACAAAGAAAAATGCTGAAACACTCTCTGGCACTTTTAACAGTCAGGTTCATGGCATAAAAAACCCTTATTGTCCCATTAGAAAAATGTTTGGGATTTCCTGTGCTCAAATGGGTTTTGTCTCTGTTTTTAATTTAAGAGGAGTTTTCAGGAGATTTACTTGAACTGCTGTCATTTTAAAGACATATATCTTTTGAGTTTGGAAGGTGTTTCTTTACAATTGAACTCTCTCTTTCCTGGCTGTTTTTCACTCTTTAAAATCTTTTATATTATTATAGTTAAATCACTGTCTAGACAGACAACACAAATGGGATGATTGAACAGGTGTATGTAATGAAAACAAGGGGTTGGGAACCCGATTGTCAGATATCTCTGCTTATGTCACCAACTGAAAAAAAAATATTTGTAGAATTGCTTTCTAAAACTGCATATGCTTCTAATGAAATATGAACTTATCGGATAACTAAAAGAACATTTTATTCCTTCACATATGTCTTTCTACTTGAATGAAATTTTTAAGAGAACTTTTTTTGATATCTTTGATACACGAGTGTGTTGTAATATTCAAGGAGAGAAAGTTGACCTTATATGTCTCGCTTTTTTTTTTTTTTTTTGAATGTCTCTTTAACTTTCCAGTGCCAAGTATGAAATTTTGTATTGTGTATCTGGTGAGCTTTTGGAAACATTCCTTCCTTCAAGTGTGTTAGATATAATTACACTGACATTATGTGGTAAAAGTCAAGTTCAGCCAATCACAACACACTTGTGTTGAGCTAATTGGCTTCTCTGTTTACTGGCCCAATTAAAATGGATGGTTATTACTTCATGTAAAGCATAGGTAACTATTAAAATTTTCTCAAAAGTATGTTTTTCAGACCTTATGCTATGAATCTGTCAACCTGTGGTGAATTTTAATGAATAAAAAAGGACAACGTAGCATGTTAAGCTAGAATTTTAGACGCATTCTGAATCCGCTTGTGCATTTAATGCCCATTATTCAAACGCACACATCAGCTTTATTATAATAGGAAAAGCAGTCTCTTTAGGCTCCTTGTTTTTCCAAGTCTGCTCAAATATGATGATTCATGAATTTTGGCCGATGCTTTATTTGCTTTTCCGGTTTCATCATTAATAGTTTAATTGGAAATCTCTCTTGGTTAGTAATGTCCCTTTTTCAGTTGCTAATTCATTCATGCTTTAGCTACTCTGTAAGGCTGAATATTAACAAGTGTTCAAAGACTCTTCATAAAATGGTCGTTTTAGGTTTATGCAAAACAAGTCAGTTTTACCAACAGCAATCACAGTCTTGTGTCTCAGGGCACGATCCCCTCAGTGACTAGGCTGAACCACTGATTTATTGTCACTGTATAGACGCTTTCATCAGACGCGTTGCCATGGTGATGAGCTGGCCCAAAGTTAACTTCCGTTCTGTTCGTTTATTAGCGTTTACTGGATAATATGGCATTGACTACAAATGCAGTGAAAGTTAAGGTGATGAGCAGGTTGTTGAGCTGTGGGGTGCAACCTGACCTAGGGAGCAAACGCAATTTTTAAAAATAAAAATGTCAAGGTTTCCTATGAGGGAGACAGCGGTATTAAAATAGCCTATGTTTATCTGAGTGATAACCGGTACAGTGTTTCCCATACATTTGTTTGTGGCAGCCCACCACATTATCAGCGCTGACCGCCACATATTGATTTCCGTGTTTTTAACAATTTAAGATGGGAAAAGTTGTAATTGACTGCAAAGTTGCGTGCAGCGCATATTCGCACGCTCTCTCTCTCTCGCAAACACATTGACAGCGGACCAGTCTGTGTATTGAATGGTTAGTATCATAAACAGCGCTGCACAGATCCATCCAACATGCTGTCAATGTGGAGACCCACCTTAAAAAAAGGTTAGCAAGCATGTAAGAAGCCTAGCTAATAAGGAGAGCTATGTTAACCTTATCAAACCCCGCCGTCGCGCTCGCCACAGTTTTTTAACACTGCGGTAAATCAGACACGTCGGTAGAACATCTTGTCTCCAATTTTGTTCAACGGGTCTGGCAGTGTCACATTTCAGCTTGGCCAGGTAACATTTATTTTCTTTGACCGGCAAGAAATACCAGCTACTAGACTATTTACTTGTTATGGATTAACTCCGCAAGTCTGCCGGAAGTTAAGTTTGGGCCAGATTAATGCACATGCACAGTACCGTTTGTATATGTTGTCACTGCTGAAAGCGTCTATACAATAGATTGAAATACAATCCGTCCATATCTTGTTGCGTTGCATATTTATCTATGATGAGCTGCATTTATATGAGATGATGAGGTTGAACATGTCGGATGTGCTTCATGCGTATAAATGTGCTTGTTTGTTTTGAAATATGGGGAGGATGTACTGCGTTTTTAAAACAAGTCTCTTATGTGCATCAAGGCTGCATTCATTCAACTAATGGTTTTAAATTATGGTGGATGCTGCACATTGGTGGTGGTTGAGGAGAGACCCCCCTCTATGTCAAGCGTTTTGAGTGTCCAGAAAGGCGCTATATAAATGCAATGAATTATTATTATTATTATTAAATAATGGTAATATTGTAAAATGCTATTACAAATTATTTTCTATTTGAATATATTTTAAAATTAAATGTATTCTTGTGAAGGCAAATCTGAGTTTACTGCATCATTACTACCATCTTCAGTGTCACATGATCATTCTGAAATCATTTTAATATGCTGATTTGTTGCTCAAGAAACATTTCTTATTAATAATGTTTTGAGAAAACAGTCATATGTCTTTTTCAGTACTAAATTAAAAGAGCAGTAATGCATCCTTTCTGAAAAAAAACTATTATTTTCATAAATATTACTGACACAACTTTTGATGCTGGTATAAATCACAGCTGATTTGCATGGCTTTTGGAAGCAAGGGTTTGCCAGTAGGAGTTACGGTTTTGAAGAACAGATGTTACTAATTAAATAATGCAACGAAACAAATGGAGGACCCATTGGAGCTTGTAGTTCGACCACAAGAAAGTCTGGATAGAGGGCTACAGTAACACAAGCTTCCCTCTGGCGATACAACATTCCTCACTGTTTACACTTAAGTCATGCAATTTCCTATGACTACCCACTTGAAGAGCCCAACAATAACACGCAAGGCGAGATAGTGATTTATTAAATTTTTTTGTAGAGACTGATAAGGAAATGTGAAACGTTTGACTGGTGCCTTCAATCTTTGGTTGTGCAATTTATAAAGGGGGCTTTCTTTAAAATGAGTGTTTTCTCTAAAGTGTCATTAAGTAAAGTGATATGCTCTCTCTTGACATCAGACTCAGTTCTTGCACTCTTGAGCTAATCTTTCCATGATAAACCATGTTTGGTGTGTTTTGCCAGCATGAGGCTTGGCACTTTGAGCTGCTCAAGAAATTCTATAACTTTGTACATGTATGACCCTGGTCTGAGCGTCATCGTATTCTTGAGTTTGATGAAAGCATCAGGCCCCAGTTGTGTGGGTTCTGTTCTTTTGTCTCCAGAGAAATGGAGGCTGTGAGAATCAATTTTATCCTTCCACATCCTTGGATCTGCCAGATATAGATGGTGTGAGTGAATATATCCCCACTTTACACAATTGAAATACCTTTGAGTCCTTCCTGACATTGAGAACCAAAATAGAACAATGCAGGAGTTTGTTCTTTTAGCCATCCAAATGGATTATCTACTGACTTGCTGTTGTTAATCTTGATATTATTGATTACGACTAAGACCACAGATCATCAGCATGACCTTTTGTGGTATTTTTCTTCTTCTGATGTTCCTGGCAAGTTTACATGGTTTCTATTTTATGCTAAGAATATTGAGTGTAAAGTGTCACTATAACCACCTGATATACACTTTTCTATATCAGTGTTTCCCATAAATATGCCAGACTCATTGACTGAATGCATTATGCTCAGAGTTCAAATATATGAATATGCATAGGCCAGTTTAGCTCTAAGCGGCAAATGCCACCATATTGTGAGGTGGGAAAGCAATTTAGCCCAGATTGTCTGTTGATTCATTTCTTAGTGTCCAAGCACAGAATGGACAACTGAAGAGAGTGTGTATATGTGTGTGGGTATGCATATATGTATATGTACACTCACCTAAAGGATTATTAGGAACACCATACTAATAATGTGTTCACCCTCTCACCTTTAGAACTGCCTTAATTCTACGTGGCATTGATTCATTAAGGTGCTGAAAGCATTCTTTATAAACGATGGCCCATATTGATTGATAGGATTGCCTCTTGCCGTTGATGGAGATTTGTGGGATGCACATCCAGGGCACGAAGCTCCCGTTCCACCACATCCCAAAGATGCTCTATTGGGTTGAGATCTGGTGACTGTGGGGGCCATTTTAGTACAGTGAACTCATTGTTCAAGAAACCAATTTTAAATGATTCGAGCTTTGTGACATGGTGCATTATTCTGCTGGAAGTAGCCATCAGAGGATGGGTACATGCTGGTCATAAAGGGATGCAGGCACGTATTGAGAACCTGCCCTTTTTATTCGTGGAGAGAAAGTGCCTTTTATTCTGGGGTGTTTTTTTATTTTTGAAAAATAATATATATTACTGTTTGCGCACAGCTTACCTGTCAAACAAATATATTGATTGAATAGTGTATCTAAATATCATGTCAGGAGTTCTGAAGCGCTCCCTCTCTGAAGCACCGATCAGATTTGGGCCGTGTTTCCACCAAAGGGTTTTTCCACGCGCCTGGCGTATGTTTTCAATTGTTTCTGCAGGGGGTTGCACACTTGTTTTACAGTTAGTGCACTTACAGTATACTTAAAGTACTGGATAATATAAGGAAACTACATGGGTTAAGGTTAGGTTTAGCTATAGGTTCAGGGTTAGTAGTAATTATTACCCAGTTATTATAATTACTATAATAATTACATGGGGGAAAAGGATGGTAAAATAAAGTGATATCCAACAGGGGTATCTCATAGGCCATGAAATTAAGACAGTCCTGCTTGGATGTCACTTTTCTGAACATGTTTCCATGAAGTATTCAAAGGATGTGGCATTAGTGCATTGGATAAAATAAGGTTCAAGCTAAAGTGGAAAATATGTATGAGTTGGTTTTGTGAATGGAGGGGGATCAATTCTCAGCATTTCTCTGTAAACATTGTTCATCGTTCAAATAAGGTTATATGGCCTTGACAGGTATTTAGTGGATATTAATGTAATGTGGGACAGTAATGTGTGATTGTAATTTTTCTCTTTTTTCAGTTAGAAAAAAATAGAAAAGCTTTGGAGTTTGCTTGTTGAAATGCTTAACTGAAGAATCGTGCTTACCTTTACACGAACGGGTCGGGTTAGGCTTTCCAATCTCTTCACTGCATCACCTTTAACTGCGCCATGACAAGCGTCTCAGAGTTGAAGTCAAACTGATTACTGGATGACGCAGACTTTCCCCAAGAGTACAAGCTCGGTGGGCGCTTTTTAAATGATGACGTGTAGCGATAAAAACTCTTGTGTCGGTTTTTAAGATACTCTCGATAATTTTTGGTCAGGAGCGTGTACAAAAACGGATTGATGCAGCTGTTGCTGTAGGTCAGACTCGCCACGAGGTAATTGATGCTCGTGTGCGTGTGTGAGGCTAAACTGAAGGGCTTGTGGTACAGGGGGACAAGCTGCCATATCCAGAAGGGCAGAAAACACGCCCAGAACACGAGCACTATCGTGAAAATCATTATCAAAACTTTCTGTTTTGGCGAGCGCTTGCTGCTTTTATTTACAGCCGACGTCTTTTGAGACTCCAGGTACGTCTTGGCTAGCCTGGTGTACAAATAACCAATTACAAGCCCTGGCGCCATTATGCTCGTACAGAACAGGATAGTCAAGTACAATTTATACGCCTGGGGTGCCCAGGTGGGTGCGCACATTCTTTTCACCCCTCCATCTGCGGTTGTTTTAGTAGTCTGGTTAACCATGACCATCATGGGAAGAGTTAGGACGAGGGATAAAATCCAAACTCCCCACGCCATGGCTTTTCGATAGCTTTTGGAGCGTTTCACGGTATCCAATGGTTTAGTCACTGCCAGGTATCGCTCCATACACATCACTGTCAGAGTAAAGATGCTCGCGTGCATAGTTACCAGGTCCAGACTTAGCAGTATCTTGCAGCCCACATCTCCAAAATACCAGTCCTTCAGAAAGTACGTGCACACGACAAAAGGAATCGTGGAGAGGTAAAGAAGATCCGCGAGCGCCAGGTTGATGATGGAGATGTACATGGAAGTGGCGAAGCGTATGGAATGACACATAACTACCAGGGTGTAGACGTTTCCCGAAACTCCAACGATGTAAACCACTGACAGCAGCGTCCCGAAAGTCGATGTTATCACAAGCTCGTCCACCGAACCGGAGTTGCTACGGGACGGACCGCTGACACTGCCAGACTTGTTGTAATTCATTGCGCTCGCGGTGAATGCGGAGCTCTACGCGGGAACTTTGTCAGGTGCGCAAGACCCCACACACACTGTTTGGATATTTGACAGATGTGTCTGAGCGCACTCGTCGGTGTCCGCAGCTCCTGACGTCAAATCGTCGCTCCGCACTTTTGGCCACTAAATGTTTTCGAAGAATGTTTAGAGACAGCGTCCATTTATTTACAGTTTTTGGTTGTATTTTACTAATATATTTCAGGAAACAATCATCTGGTAAAAATAAATGAATAAATAAAGAATATAACGCAGAAATGTCACAGAAATAAAAATGCAAAAAGCCCTATTGTCCGATGTTACGCACCCAACGTTATAATTTCAAGTTTTGTTTAATGACTGGTAGCCTATACGTACAGACAAAAGTCTTTTTTAAAGACCTTCTCTGAAGGTTTTTTTCTGGTGTGAAATTTGAAAATCATTTTTCTCTGCATCTGTGCATCTGACCTTGGGTTAGTTCCCCACGGATCTGCAGTGTTCTCATGATCCGTTCCTGTGAAAGTCAGGACTGACTGCAGACTAAAAAATGACTGTAGCCATTGGCTGCAAAATTGAAACATTTAAGAGACAAATTAGCTTTTTTTTTCTTTTTCTTTTTTTCAGAATCACTCAAAATAGCTGGTGTTTCTTGAAGCATGTTCAGATGTGTGCTGCTTGTCGTACAAATTAGGGGAAGACTGTATGAAAGTACACCTTTTGTTTGAGCATCTGTGTTTGTGAATTTGATGTGTTGTATCCACATTTATCTGCTAAAAATATAATGCACTTGGACACGTACAGCACAAATACAGATTATGTGAGTTAATGTCAAACACAAAGAGTTATTGTTACCCACTACTGAGGTGAGTTGTAACAGGCTGGGGATAGATGTAACAATGAGAGGTAATTTGCTGAAATACTGTAAGATCCACACAATGTTTTTGAAGAACAAAGAATAATCATTTTATATAAAGTGAACCATTTCAGAGATGCACATACATTCTACAAATGTGCACAAAATAAATAAATAAATAAATGTATGTGTTTAATTAGGGCGGATACTGATTATCCTGTACGTATTACAGTGTTATAGAACAGTATTTATATTGTTTTTTACCTCTTGTAACCACAGCCACGTCCAAGTGAAATGAGGGCACGGGCGCTTTGTGGCTGCATGTGGTTACAAGAGGTAAAAACGATATAAATACTGTTCGTTTTCTCACACAAACAGCTCGTTTCGTGTCTTAGGCCATCAATGTGTACTTACATTTACGAGTCATTAAGTCATGTTCAATTTGGACTTCTCTGTGCATGCTCTTTGAGGTGGTGACCATAGACCTCCATTATATGACTGACAGACCAGAACAGTTTGAACAGTTGGGGGATCTGATATTTGGAATTATCATAAACATTTGTAACATTTTTTATGAACCGTTACAACTATCCAGTCATAACTTGGCTACATGTTTTAGCAAGTAAGTTTGAAGTTAGCTAGAATGCAAAGCATCAAATTAACTAGAGAAACAACTAGGCTACTTTAAATTTTACAAGTAAAAAAACTGCATTTACAATACAATGATTGCAAGGCAAAAAGCAATCTTGATAAAAAAAAAAATGTACCTTCCTTCCTGAAATTCTGTTTTTTGGTCATACAATGTCCAATGTTGCTCACAGTAACATGCCAATGATGATGCAAGTGTATGATATTGATAACTTTTCTGACTTGTGACAGTGTTACAACACTCCCCGGTCTCCCTATACATGTTTTTTACTCGGAAGAACAAATATTCAACCTTTGTTTTACTGACTGTTTAAATGTAGCTAAATTTAATCTTTGTTAATAATGTCAGAAATTTGCTTCACAAACAGGTCAAGAAATAAAAAAGAGAGAATTTTAGGACTGCTTGACAGACCAGTATAGCTCAATAACCTTACATAATCCCAGTCTTTTTTTTAAATAAATTGTTGTTGAATTGTGATTTCTGATATTGCTTTAATCTGATTTGAAATTAAGTTGGCTTATTGATGTAGGCTACATGTGAACAAGCAGCAATCTTAAGAGTGATGATTGTCATTTGAAAATCCAATTTTTATTTATTTCACTATCAAGAGACTATGTTTAAATCAGTTTATGCAATACTTGTTAGGCTTTGTGAAGCCCTGCAGTTATTTCCCCAGTGTTGTGGGACTGTTGGATTTGTGTCTTGGCAGTCCCCATGCATGAAATGTCATTTTGATATCGATAACACATGTTGGTAGGGTCTATGAATAAATTTCACTTTTATTAAATAAAGTAGTCATATATAGGGACATATCCCTTGGGACTTTGAAGAAAATACTAAAGGTTGGTCATTTTATATTAAAACCTTCACCACACTTCTTCTGCAGTATAATTCTGTTTAATGTTTATGAAAACGCCACCATTGATCCGGGTAGATCCTTGCACAAGAATGAAAGGCAGCATCTCATGAGGCAGAGAATGTTGTTAAATACAGTAAGCTCACCGTGTGCTTGATGTTGAAAGCTCTTTGGATATTTGAGACCGAGAGCACATGATTGGCAGGGTTGAACTGTAGTATAACAATGGGAGCTGAATACTGATGATACTTTATGAAAGCTGCTGAAGAGGAACTTGCAGACAAGTGAGCCATTTTAGGTACAGACAACACAGGGAGTTGTTTGCATATTTAAATAATTTGCAAAGCTAGACACTTCCTGTGACATTTCTTGGTGTTTTATTTAATTGCATGACACAAGACACCTTGTTTTCTCCTTTTGGGAAAAACATTCTTTTCAGGTGTGTTAATGGGGAGCTGTCCATGGTGCTGTCCTGCATTGAGAACATCTTTTGTTAAGGTCTTGAAGTTGTCAAAGCAGACTGACAGATTTTGCTTTTATTGCATATGATATGATCTATCCTCACAAATAGAGAAAGCTTTAAAACGTTGCTTGAGAAGAAAATTCTTCTTAGCATGCTTTTAGTCACTGTGGTGTTGACTTGTGTTGTTCCTGGCTGCAAGAATTCAGAGAGTAAATATTTAGCCGGAGTGAGTTACTTAGGTTTTCAGTGAAGGATCCGGGGCATTGCAGGCAGTGGCAGAAATTTTGTTTGTAGTCCACATTTCAAACTGGATGAATATGTACATTGTTTTAGGCCATATAGAGGTGGGAGGGAAATGAAAGAAACTGCCGTTCCATTAGTTATTTAGGAAGAAGTGGACTTTTTTTACCATAACTTAACCCTTTGACTGTCTGACTTGTCTTTTGTTGACACACAAACATGAATTTCTTGGTCCAGATAACACAGAAAAAGAGTAAAAATTGTTCATGTATACTACTGACATTGAAATATGTACTGCGGGTTAAAAATCCCAACTATCAACTCTAAACACGGAGAAAGTGTAAACATCGTTTATTTACACATAGCACGGACATTTTTACAAAACAAAGCGGGTTGAAACCTTAACACTTAAAACTTCTCCGTACTGCAAGTACATTTAGGATTTATGTAAGTGTGTATTGGCATGTCCTATTTCACTCTGCCTCAAGTATCCTTTCCTTTGATAGGGAAGATAGTCTGTACTGCAAGACACAGTTTCTGTTCTTCATGCTTTGTAGCCATAGCCTGGGTAGTGTAGCCAGCAATGATCAAATCAAACAGCTCAGATGGGCTGCAGGGATCATCTGCAACCAGCTGACTATTTCCCGTCTCCCACCACACAAATTAACTCTTGACTGCAGGGCTAAAAACACTTCCTCAGTGCAAAGACCTCCCGTCTTAATTCAAACAGTGGGATGATTGCGTTTTAAAGGTGCAATGTGTAAAAAAAGTGAGTATCTATTAACAGAAATGCAATATGACATCCATAAGTATGTTTTCAGTGATGCATAAAGGACTTAAACTACAATGTTTTTATTACCTTAGAATGAGACATTTCTATCTACATAACCGCTTTTATGAAGGTCGACATCTTGTGACGTCATGTTTCTACCGTAGCCAACAGCAAACAAACAGCACTACAAAGCATGTTTCATTCATACTTTGAAAGAGAAGCAGCAGAAAGCTAGAAGCTAGCCGTAAACACCGTGAGCAGTTACTTTTCCCTTGTCAGTGGTGTAAAATATGTATTTGGCTTGTTTCATGTAACTTAGTTCTTCTCCCTAGCCCTTTTGTGTAGTAAATGGTGTCTCTGGGATGCGGAGGCACGCACGCTGTTACAATCACGTCATTTTTGCTGCGCGCAGCTTTGCGCTCATGTGGACGCGTCCAGTATAAACAAGGCTTTACACTTTAACCAGATCAGCCACAGTAACAGCTCATATTTAGCCAGATAAACTTTTACATTTTATAAAATATATAAACTAGCGGTTTCATATGGTTCTTCTCCCTCGCTGTATTATGGGTTTGCCATGTGGGGAGAAATGTGCTGGTTACGTTTGTGAGACAATCAGTAGATTATTATTATTATATTATTATATTAAGACCCTCGATCCTCACCTGATTATGCTTTGTAAACTTTATCCATGATGTGGTTTATTATAATAGACTATGGTACAGAAACAGTGACAATGTTACACACTCTTGGCTTACTCTGTCTATTCTTTGATGTCTCAGATGACGATATGTTTGTCCCGTTTTAGCCACTGTAGCTTCTTCAAAAGGGAGGGGTGAGCAGTGGGCTGAGCCCTTGGTGCAACTCGCAAAGAAATCTGTGTTCCACACTCTCCCATCTCACAAAGTAAAAGAAGCAACACTCATTATTTTACTACTTCTTCCAGCATGCATGCAGTTGAGTTCTGTTGACAACTATGAGTAGCTCAACATAAGTCACTTTCTGCGTTGCTCTGATTGGTTGTAGATCTATCCAATTGAGTTGTTTTTTTCCCTGGTTCGGTTCAGACAAACCTCATAATCAAACCCTATGAAGCAGTATCAGGCTCACATTCTGACTAGAAAATGATGAAGTCAGGCTAGGGAAAAGTCCTAATTATTATAAATGATGACTGCC